CCGATATATGTAAATAGTGAGTACCATTAACCGTTTAGTATATGATGGCCTTTTTGTTGAAACTGTTGGCATACTTTTAGTGACTCAATCTTAATACTTTAATTTAAAAGAAGAATATGAAAGGATATTATTTTGTGTAGAACAAAAAAAACAGTGAGTTTGTTGTACTGATTTGAGATATTGACGAGCTTCGATTTGTATAAATGAAATCTATAATTATCCAAGTCTAATGTTACACAGAAAAGATAAAAAATGAAAAAGGATTTTTTTTGCTAAAGATAAGTGTGTTGATTCATCGAAGTATTCATATATTTTTAGTATTATACAATCATGTTCTGATTGATAAAATGAATAACTTACTATAAAAGTGAATTAATGATGTTTGAATATAAGGATTATTCAATGAATTTGATGAAAGCTTTTGTTGAATAGTAATACCACGTTTGTAATCATTCAATATTGTACATGCTTTTATTGCCATATCAATAGTAAAATTATTACATATTTCAGTTTGTTGATCGAAAAGATCTAGAGCTTCTTTATATTGTTTGGAATCGATTAGTTTCTTCATTCTTGAGTTTAATGTTACAGATGATGAAATCGAATATGTTTTGTTGTTGTTCTGATATGATGATAAAAAATATCGAAATCGATACATCGAATAACTATTATATTTAATCAATAACATGTTATAATCTAGAATAATAAAAATACTATGGAAATATACTTATTTTCAAAAAGTATTTAAAAAAAAGTAATTGTAAAAAAATCCTCTTGAAATTGATCGTTGAAAGTCCGGCCCGATTTTGTTAATATGTCATTTTCATTTTCAAATCTTTCCCTACACATATAGGCCCCGAACAGATCAACTAATTCAAAGTGATTTAAAACTGAATTAACGAATAAATCGTTTCAAAACGACGATTTGCATTGAAATAGATCAATCACGTTGCTTGATTTGTTTTAGTTTTTTCACTCTTTTCGGAGCTATAGAGTTGAGTCATATTCTTATATTAATTGGTACATCTAGTCGTCAATGTGATGCTGAGGACCAGAAAAAAAAATATCACTAAACTGCAGTAATGCCTATTTTCTGTATTATTCTTCTGAAAACAGCAATATTGACATCGATTTATTGATTTTTTTGTTGATTCGATAGATGTAGACACATTCGATACACATGTTAATATCGAAGTTGAGATTACATTAAATCTCTCGTTAGCCTGGACAAATCTCGGATTCAAGACTGGACGCATTCAAATTCGGATTGAAGGAGAAATTTATGTTAAAACTCGAGTTAGTTTGTAGATCGATGCCGAATTCGGATTTTTTCCAATGGATTGTGAAGAATAAATGGCATTTCAACTAATAAAATCATCAGTTGATCAATTAAATTTGAATCCACGAACTAATGAACAATTTCCATTATAGCAGTTTCTGTGTATAAACTTATTCACAATTTCACTAATTCAAAGTTAATCGATCAATTGATGATTTTATTAGTTAAAATGCAACTGTTTTCTCTCAGTTCAATAATAACAGTCTGAATCCAACATTGATCTATAGACTACTTTCAGTTTTAATATAAGTCTACCCTTCAATTCAATAGTGAATGCATCCAAACTCAGATCCAAGATTCACTCGGATCAATCCAAGGTGGGTCGTAATCTCAGTGTAGACGCTAACATATATATCGCAGTGGCGGATCCAGAACTTTTGAGAGGAGGCGGTACTTTCTAAATTTAGCGTCGTGACCAGAATTCCAGGCTAGGGAGACTCAGCCACGAACGTTTTCAAAAAAGTGAACAAAGCTAGTGCTAAGTATTTTTCACTTTTTTTTTGCAAAAAGGGAACTAAGTTTCTGACCTATCTGAAGTATACGAGGCTAGTTGAGACAGGTATTTCAACACTTTACAATTTCTTACAGGGTATTCTCGAAATTCATATTTTTTAATCCTAAAAGTAACACTTTTGCTGTTCGATGCCTACGATGAATACGATTCTACATAATAATTCGGACCTAAGTGATTGCCAAAGATAACTTCCAATATGCTGTTTAAACCAGAAACTATGCACTCGAAATTAGTCACATGCTATGTAAGGAGCATAATGATTCTAAATGGAATAGTTAGAAGCGTTACTCGTTGTACCCAAACCGCTTCAAAAATTAAAATACGCTGCATTAAAACAGAGTCAAAATCGGTGATAAAATGAACAATATGATAGTCAATTTAAAATATATTTGTAAGTCTGCCCATCAAGATCTCAGGGAGCGCCGGAGTGTTCTTCTTTGTTCATTACATCAGTATCAAGGGCTTTTACAATACATCACATCCAGTCTGTTAGAATATGGTCGCAAGGCTTTTTCGAGCGACAAACACCTGCTCCCAAGAGAAAATTTTTGACAGAACTTTGTCCGATTTTACTGATATGA